GGCCGCAGCGTGCCAAGCAGGCCCGGAGTTAAGGAGAGCGTAGAGCGAGCGCCGTTGAAAGCTGTGTTCAGCACTCACTTTTCTGTACTCATAGTCTGTTCCTCCCTACAGAATAGCCAAAAGTGAAGCCCGAGTTTCTGCAGAGTGCTGATGCTCAGCCCTACAAGCCTAACAACTTCCATCCACTGTACAGCTTTTTACATTGAATAAAACTTCTCTTTCTTGGGAACTGGTCTTTCTAGGAAACTGTCAAGGAAGTTGTACCTTAAATTTAGGACATTCAGTCTTCCAAAGGCATGCACTCTTATTTGGAGGGTTTTTCTGTACCTCAAAGTATATTGTTTAAAAATCGAATTGAAACTTTTTGAATTTATAGTATCTTAATATTTTTTTTCCCCATATCAAGAGAATATTATGAGAATAGTTGTATTGCTTAAAGCAGTAGTCGAAGTTACATAAATGGTGTTAGGAACATTCGTAGTGCAGTCCTCAAATAGGAAGCACGAGTAGTAGTAGTAGTTATTAATAATTTCTAGGAAGGAGTATGACTTATTGTATTGATGGTGTCATTATATTCCTCCTTTTTGTTCCTCTACCCAGAATGAACCAGTTCAGAAATACATTCAGGCAGCGATCACTCGGGACAGAGCGGCACGGAGCCTGCGGCCTGCGTTAGGAAGCATTCCGCGACTCATTCAGGAGCTCCGCTCCGCCCGGGAAGCACAGAGGAAGGAAAGCCGTTACCGAGTGGTAGCCAGCCACCGGCCCAGCTGTACGGAAGCGCTCGCGCCTCTCACAAATGGTGAGGCATCATCGGCTGCTGGGGACAGATCAGCCTCTGAAGCAACACCTGATGCTTCCCAAAAGGAGAGCGGTGCTGTTGATAAGAGTTCGGACTGCTGTGACAAATTCCAGTTGTTTGATATTGAGCAGGAAGAGGAGGTGGTGGGAGACTCTGGTGTAGCTGCTGCAAACCCAAAGGTCAGCAAATGAACTTACTGTACTTGATGTACTTTGATGTCACTGTTGACTGATACGTGTGGGCAAACTGACTGCTGCAGGAGACTGTTGTGTCTTGTAAGTATTCCCCTATTTAATAGGAGCTTTAACTAGGTATTTGCAAGTTGAAGTACTGTACAGGGAGTAAACTTGCATGAGGATCCTGAAGTGTACCAATGTTGAGATGTCCAGCCATGTGGATCTGGCTGCTATAGAAAGGGATTTTGCCACTGTGGTTTTTCTGTACTCTGTTCTCATGTATAAATGATCATGTTCAGCTGTCAGGAGGATCTCCTGAAGTTTTTGATTGACTTTTGCTCTACCTAAAAAAGAAAAAAATCTAATTCACTATCTTCTCCTCTTGCCAGATGCCTGGGAATGCCACTTATAAGCAAGATTTGCTAAAGGAAAAGATGCTTTTAAGCCTCCCCTTCTTCTAATTCAAATATAAAGAGGTTTTTTTATGTTTTGTTTTTAGCAAAACTCTAGGTGTTTGACAGGCTATTTAAGCCCCTACATCCTGTTTTCATTGATATTATGGGTTAATTATTTTTTCAGCTGGAGGAATATCTGCTCAATATCTAGTGTGGTTTTAAATGCGAAGAAGCTCTGCCTTCTGTGCAGGACTTCTGCATACAGAGGGCTAGGAAGATTTTATATTAGAGACTCCTAACCATATGGAAAAGGAGGGGGAGGTTTTTTTAGTAGTTCCTTCACTGTATGCAAGTACACATGGATGCTTTATTTATGCAGCCCATCACAGCTCTGAGGAAAACTTAAATGCTTCAAGAATATATCTGGGTGAAGAGCCCAACCAACTGTCATTCTTCAGCATTTCTTAAGAGGTTATTTCAGGGCTTTGCCATAAACTTCAGTATGAACTTTGCTTTCTATTAAGTAATTCAAACAGATGTTTGAGAGCTGTTGGTTAACTGTTATCTATCACTCTGCTGAGTAGAAGAACAGAAATGAAACTGAGGGAGGTAGCATCAGAATTTTCCTCTTACAGAGCTAGCAGTTAAGTGTTGAAAGCAAGATGTAACCTTTCTTTTTCATTCTATAAGTTTTTAGAAGTGAATTAAAGGCTGGTCTGTAGCTGTTCCTCAGAATTACTTAAGTAGTTCAGGAGTGTTTTGCCAATGACCAGGCCCAACAAAAATGATAGCACCAGCAGGAAGATGAACCAATATGCAGACTGTATTGTATACAAAAATGTTGCTATAGGAATGACTGCCAGGGGTACAAACAGGTCAACAAGCTCGTACATGATCGACACCACCCCCAACGATCCCACAAACGACACGACTCGGCCCACAACAGGTGGTACAAACAGAGACCCGAGGTTGCCCACAGTTGGCATGGGAACCAGCCAGACCAGCAGGCTGAACACATGAGAGAAAGGTGACCACATAGTGACTCTCACCCGATCGGCCCACGATCGCAAAGGTCTAAACAGACCAGGGCCCAGCTCCAGGGAGAGTCAGGAGGTCTTCCCTGAACCAGGAAGCTCTGTGGAGTGCACTCCACAGACAGACACTCCTGACTCCCTGCCAGTGGTCCCAGCTTTTATCCCCAAGCAGACACCTGACCTTTGTCAACTCACTGCGGGACCCCTGGGGCTCATTTCCCTTATGGCTCTCCCTGCAGGGCCGGCTGCACCCTGGGGGGAAGCTATAAGGGAAATACATTGCGAATGATTTATTAGTAAGGAGAACACATTAAGAAATTTCTTCTGTGTTAATGCTGAAGTGAGGAAACAAAAGAAATAAAAAGTGTGTCTGTAGAGCCCGTCTGCTTTTTGCTGGTAATCTGTCACATTTTCATTGTTTCTTCTCCATCCTTTGTATACTGTAATCTACTTGCATATTATTACTTGCTTTCCTGCAGTGTTCAAGTGTAAAGCGCTACAGAGCACAGCCTGTCTTAAAATTTGTCTTTTCCATCAACATGTCATCAGAAACAAATGAAGAGTTCTATGGGCTTAGTCATATCCCCTTCAGTACTTCCTAATGAGCGTGTCCCATGGCTGCGCTGTACTATGGCAATTGAAAAATTCCTTAGTGCCTTTCTGTTCTAGGTTGCTGATGTTCTAAATACCAGGATTTTGATGGGAAAGGGTTTTGGTCTAAGATTTCAGGATGTCATCCTTAGCTAGCTGTTGGCTGCTGTCTACAAAGAAAACTGTTGGCTGCAACTAAGACTTTGTGTGCCTGGCTTGTGTGGTAATAACGCTGCTTTTTCTTTCCCCCCTCAGCAGAAGACTGATCCAGATGTGATTCTTTGCAATGCAGTGGAGATGATCCGTGAGCGTTTAAATGTTTCTGAAGATGGTAAAAAAGAATACTGTGGGAAAGAAGATGAGTATGTTTATGACATCTACTGTATGGAAACATCAGCCCCTGGTTGGATTCAAAATATCCTTTCTATACAGCCCTATAGAGAAGAGTATGAATTGGTAAGGGTGTGGGAAAACAGATCCTTCTTCAATAGGAAGGTTGCAAATAAACATGGGTGAAGTCCTATCGTAAAAAGTTGCCGTGAGAGATCCTTTGAGGTACTACACTACGCTCAGTGACTTCTGTGTTAGGCTCTTTCTGCCAGCCCTTTGTTCCTGCAGGTTACTGTTGATCCAAGCAAATCACGATGCAACAATGAAAACTAAAGGGATAGTGTTCATGTACTCAGGAAGAATTTGTCTGGCTGCAAATTGCCAAATAAATTTTGGCACACAAATACAAACTTCGGTAATTCATGTTTTGTTTGTGATTGAGAGGCAAGAATTAAAATGTAGTTGTAAATACAGTCTACTGAAAAAAGGAGCAAGAGGGGACATGCAACTTCTTCAGTATTTGAGGACTTCAATCTCAATAGGAGGTATTGTCTTGTAATAGTTACAACTGTCCTTTGTGGAGTTAGGAAGTTAAATGTAAGCTTTAGTCTTTCATTGTGTAGATACTGTGATCATCAATAGACTTGTGTACCTGGAACCTGAAGCTACTTTTTCTTGATCTATTGCACTACTGCTGAAGTGAGCAGGATTCATTTAGACATTAACCTTAGCATTTAAATGCTGAAGTGGAACATGTCAGTGTGTGACTTAACTCATTTTCCACCTAAAGCAAATTGCTATTTTATGGGGAATATACTGAGAACAGAAACTTTTATGCAGTGTGCTTTGTGCAACTTAAGCATGTAGTTGATAAATACCTCTTGGCTTTTTCTGACGTGTGAAATTCAAACGCTTCATGCTGTGTGTCTATAAAGAATGTTCTGTTTTGTGTTGACCTGCAGGTAGATGAGGATGATCATGTTCCAGGGGAAATATATGAAGATGAAGATGATGAAAATGATGAAAATAACTGGCGTAATGATTATCCTGATGAAGATGAATTCTTACCTGAGGAAGATGGTGATGGAGAAAAGGGTATGCCTGTCATAAACACTGTCTGCTTTCATGCTGCACACACAAATTCCATCCTTTTTGCATGCTGCTGTTCAAAAAGCAAATAAATAGCTGAGCACTGCTGGGGTAGTGTTCTGCTCCTAGAATGGGTTAAATCTGCTTAGAGAAGAGTCATCTTCCTTGGAACTACCAGGGATCTTAGTGGTTCAGCACAGTCAAAACTAAGAACCCTGACAGATTCTGATCTGTTTTGGCAGAGGACTTTGGAGCCCTGGTGGCTCGGTGGTTGGACTTGATGATCTTGGAGGTCCCTTCCAACCTAAATGAGTCTATGATTCTGTGATTCTAAGAACATCATTTCAGGCTGCTGCAATGGCAAAGGATTGCCATCCAAAGGAATAGAATATTTGATTTGATTTCTTGTGCTTGTGTAACACTGCCTCTGCTTTCTGAACTTCCCCTCCCTGTGTGCTCCTGAAATGCTGGGGTCTGAACCCTGAGCCCCAAATTAAGGTTGACATATGGTAGATTCCCACAGCCCTTCATAAAGAGGTGGTGAGTTTGCCTTATAGCTTCCCCCCAGGGTGCGGCCGGCCCTGCAGGGAGAGCCATAAGGGAAATGAGCCCCAGGGGTCCCGCAGTGAGTTGACAAAGGTCAGGTGTCTGCTTGGGGATAAAAGCTGGGACCACTGGCAGGGAGTCAGGAGTGTCTGTCTGTGGAGTGCACTCCACAGAGCTTCCTGGTTCAGGGAAGACCTCCTGACTCTCCCTGGAGCTGGGCCCTGGTCTGTTTAGACCTTTGCGATCGTGGGCCGATCGGGTGAGAGTCACTATGTGGTCACCTTTCTCTCATGTGTTCAGCCTGCTGGTCTGGCTGGTTCCCATGCCAACTGTGGGGAACCTCGGGTCTCTGTTTGTACCACCTGTTGTGGGCCGAGTCGTGTCGTTTGTGGGATCGTTGGGGGTGGTGTCGATCATGTACGAGCTTGTTGACCTGTTTGTACCCCTGGCAGTCATTCCTATAGCAACATTTTTGTATACAATACAGTCTGCATATTGGTTCATCTTCCTGCTGGTGCTATCATTTTTGTTGGGCCTGGTCATTGGCAAAACAGCTCCAAGCACACTTCAGACCTCACCTAATTTAAAAGTTGCTCAGACATTTTATCTGATGATAGTCAAGAATCTTAAAATAGCCTGATTGACCTAATTCTTTAAGTAAAAAAAAAAAAAAAGGGATAATCTAAACGTGTTCATGCTGTTTCTTTAGAGTCTGAAGATAGCCTCAGTGATGAGGACCACTGTTACAGGAGAAGAACATGGAACAAATACCGGCAGGAGGTGATACAGGAGTTTGGATATGATGAGATCCAGGATTTGGATTCTGACTAACAGCCTGGTTTTTGAAGATGAAATGAATACTGAAGATGAAATCTGCTGTTACAGTAGAACTGACAATCCAGACAGCTGTGGGTGACTATTCAAAAGAATCTCGAAACAAAAAAAAAAAAGAAAAAATCCACTACCAAAAAAACCAAACAACCAAACAACAACCTGGAAGGCCACATTCTAGTAAAAGTTATGCTCATTTAGATAGTAGGAAACCAATCTTTACATAGATGAGCTTTAAGCTAATTTTTTCCTGTCTAGCCTTCTGAAACTATTGAGGACTAGCATGGTTCACCCTATTGCTTACCAACTGGACTGGAGTATTACGTACTAGATTGGGATTCCAGTAAGTAAGCTAAAAATGACTATCTGAGCAGTCGGCTTGAGCTGGTAGATATTGAACAGATGAGTGGGAACATGGCTAGTTGACCATACAAATTTTTGTTCAAGGCAAAAGATACTATATGCTTTAAAGTAAGATATTTTTTTTTCCTATGTATAGATGTTTAGAAGGAACTTTTTTTTTGAAGCTGCATGCCCAAGCATTTGTACCTGTACTGACACAGGTATGAATCACATTTTGGCAGCAGCCCTTCTGGCCATGTGTCAGGTTTCACAAGAAGATAAAGGTGTGCTGTGGTGGCAAGTGGAAGTCCTGGGAAAAGGCACTCCATCCTACTGCTTTCTACTGTATTTGTTCCAAAGTTTCAAGTTACTGTTTTTACAAAAGTGTTTTCAGCATATGAAATGCCTTGAGCTGTTGGATCTCTCTCCCGTAATTTCGCTATTGGAATAGAACAATATATGTGCATTTAAATTGTAAATAAATAAATTTTGACTACATTTTCTTTACTCATTAAAAGATCGTAGGAGTTGGGACAGCTGAAGCCACGTCAGCATTTTAACTTGCATTCATACATCTTTAAAACAATTTAATTGTACGTGTTTGCACTGGCTGCTCTCCTACTTGAGTCTGTAAAAAATAGCTAATAGGATGTTAGATCCATGTTGTTCATGAGCTGTAGTTTGCAGGAGTGACTTCAGGTGAATTAGTTCTGGATGGTGATGTGAAGGTAGTGGAGGCAAAATATTTTTTTCCTTGTTTTCAGTGGAAGGTTAATATGTCTGTTAAAGCCATGCTTTCCTACTGGACAGATGTCTCAGATACTGAATTCATTCTAATCACTCAGGATTAAATACTAAAAAGACCCTACATCTTTACATGCCAACTCTGCATAAAGTTCCTCGGCTAGAATTTAACTACCTTAAATCCCAGTGCTGCTTTGTAAAGGTAGCTCAAAACTCCAGTTTATGTTACTCTTCACCATCTACTACTATTGCCATTATCTGTAGTTTTTTTGTTCAAGCTAACCTTGATCAGTGCAAGGATCCAAATATTCTCACTATTACTCAAGCAGCTGATGCAAATGTGGTGCAGCATTTGAAGTGTCCATTGTTTCAGCTATAATCTGGTGATTACAAGACTTAATTCAACTTAAACACAAAAAAAAATTGCAACATGGATGAAATTGGGTCTAATGATGTACACATTCTGAACTAAGATAAAAATTGCAGGTATATTTTTGAACTATGTATCACTGCTAGACCACCAGGATGGCTGCACCAAAATTCAGTATCAAAGAGTCCTGATGTTAGGCTTACAGCTTTGGAATTCCAAGTACTACTAATTAACATCAGTCTGTATTGCAATACTACTTTTTAATTTCTCTTTTTATTCCTAGTCTTGCTCCCTGCTATTTATCGTTCAAGATACAGTTGCTGCCACAACTTCTGCTACAGAAGAGGAAGAAGGGGTTGGTTCCATGAGGTTTTGGATGGTTATTTTCTAGTGAACAGCCCAGAAATTTAGAGAGGGAAGTTTCTGACTGTTGAGGTAACTCCTAATGTGTGTTCACTGAAACAGTTCAGAAACAAATGCTGAAGAGCTTGAAACTGAACATTTCCAATTCAGAAAGTTTCATAAAGCCTATCAGAATTTGACAAAATACTCATAAGCTAACAGGCAAGAATCATCAAATGTTAATAAAATTTTTAGTGACAAGGTGCTTTGCTGATTAAATTCTTGCCACAGTCTGATACCACATAAAATACTTGAAAGGAAAAAAGGTTGGTTCTGTCTTTAAATAATTTAATGTAGCACAACTTCATTCATTTTATTCTGCTAATAATGACAAATCAGGTAGCTTGTTCTGCTAATAATGACAAATCAGGTAGCTTGTTGGGACCAGATGTCTTCTGGAATAACAACTGAGATAGCACAGCAATCATTTCATGCAAATATCCACCAGAATTAAGTTGGAAATGACTTTTGAATTGAAATGGTTTCAAGTTTAACTTAAAAACGTGTTACTTCACCGGCTGGTTCTGCAAAAAACTCATTTGATCCGTTAGCTCTTACCATTTTAATACCCATTCTGAAGAAGGAACAGTACTGATGCATAGCTTGGGTGCCTGAAATGAGTAGGTAATCATTACCCAGTGAAAACATGCCCTGAAAATATGCCCACAGTTTATGAGGGTGACATGTCATCTGTGTGGGAATCCAACTCTAGGTAGGTAGCAGCTAAACCATACTGCTCAGAGGGTTGTGATCAGCAGAGCAGAGGCTAGCTGGAGGCCTGTTGGTAGTGGTGGTCCTCAGGGGTCAGGACTGGGTCCAGTCCTGTTCAGCATCATCAGTGAGCTGGATGAAGGCACATAGGGGACCTGCAGCCAGTTTGCTGATGATACAAAACTCAGAGGAGTGTCTGATAGACCAGAGCTGTGTGGCCATTCAGCAAGGTGTGGACAGGCTGGAGAGCTGGGTGGAGAGGAACCTAATGAAATTCAACAAGGACAAGTGTAGAGTCCTGCATGTGGGGAGGAGTAACCCCCTGCACCTGTACAGACGAGAGGTTGACCTGAAAAGCAGCTCCATGGAGAAGGTCTTTGGAGCCCTGGTGGACAACAAATTAACCATGAGCCACCAATGTGCCCTTGTGGCTACGAAGGCCAATGGTATCCTGGGGTGCATTCAGAAGAGTATGGCCAGCAGGTCGAGGGAGGTTCTTCTCCCCCTCTACTCTGCCCTGGTGAGGCCACCTCTGGAGTGCTGTGTCCAGTTCTGGGCTCCCCAGTTCCAGAGAGACAAGGAACCACTGGAGAGAGTCCAACAAAGGGCTACAAAGACATTTAAGGGACTGAAGCATCTCCCTTATGAGGAGAGGTTGAGGGACCTGGGTCTGGTTAGCCTGAAAGAGAAGACTGGGAGGGGATCTTACCAATATTTATAAACATCTGAAGGGTGGGTGTCAAGAGGATGGGGCCAGTCTCTTCAGTGATGCCCTGCAACAGCATAAAGGCCAACAGGCACAAACTGGAACACAGGAAATTCCACCTCAGCACCAAGAAAAAAAAAGTTTACTGTGAGGGTGACAGCACTGGAACAGCCTGCCCAGAGAGGTGGCGGAGTCTCCTTCTCTGGACACTTTCAAAACCTGCCTGGCCACATTCCTGTGTAACCTGCCCTAAGTGAACGCACTTTGGCGAGGGGTTGGACTAGATGATCTCCAGAGGCTCCTTCCAACCCCTACCATTCTGTGATGTGAAGTGTTTCTGAAAGATCACTGGAAACGGTTTTCCCATTTTTTCCAGATCCATCTCTTCCCTTTTATTATAAGTCATTATTGTTTTATCCTCCCTCCTGTTTCTTGCAATGGCTTTGAAATTTTAGTTGGATTTGCTTTCTAATTTCTTTTCTTCATTTGTGTCCGTCTCTGTTAAAACACAGTAGCAGAGCAGCTGCACGTTTCGTGTGACTGCACCTGCAACAGGAAATTGGAGATCAATCAGAAGAATTGATCCTACTTCAACTCTAATTACACAACAGGCATCTGGCTAATGAAAGTTTGTTGTCAAGATTACTGCCTCACTTTGCTTAAGGGAAACAAATGATAATACAAAAAGTGTGTTCCACTCAATTTTTAAAAACAGATAATGTTTAAAGCTGTGCTGTTGATACCCAGGGTGTTTTTCTTCTTAGGCACCCTGCCAAGTAACTGCAGTAAAATATTTTTCCTCCATAATTAAGTGTAAAATTGGTAGAATATTAAAACCCAAACAGCACACAGGAAAGTGACAAGGATGAAGTATTTACATATTGACTAGCTGCTGCAGCACCACATCCTGCTGCATACTAAGCTGAGCTATGAACTCTCTGCATCCCTCATCATGGTTTTCTCACGTTGTAACAGTAACAACAGTGCACTGCTGGAGAAAAATGTATCACTTAACTGCAGCAATCCCATAGAAGGCAGAATTCCATCTGTGACTGACACAAAATCTATACATCTTCAAACGGTGATTCAGTAAAGCAAGCAAGATAGTTAAAGCGATTCATTAAAGCAAGACCGTTAGCTTGCATTGCCAAGAATGTTCAGCCCTTTTACTGTCATCAACCTTGCTTAAGGAAAAGACTTTTCACGTATCTGATTAAAAAGAAATGTATAAAAACTAGAGACAAAAGTTTGTAGAATGAGGATGGTCTTTTAAATACACAGTCAATAAAATCTGGATGTATTGGCTATTGCTGAGCAGCGTTTGCACAGTATCAAGGCTTTTTTCTTTTTTTTCCCAACCAGGGGATGGGCAGGAAGTTTGAAGGGGAGATGGCCAGAAGAGCTGACTCAAACCAGGCAAAGAGATATTTCATGCCATATGATGTCATGCTTAGCGATAAAATGGGTAGAGAAAGAATTGTGTGCATGTAGGGGGGCATCTTCGACATGGCCACTGCTTGCAGACTGGCTGTGCACCGGCCTGCTTGTGGGAGGTGGTTAAGTGTTTGCCTTGGCAGCCGCAGGGTTTTTTTCCCCCTCTTTCCTTCACTTAATGAACTGTCTTTATCTTGACCAACAAGTGTTCTCACCTTTGTTCTTCCAATCCTGTCCTTCATCCTACTGGGAGGGTGCTGGTGCGCAAGCAGCTCTGTGAGTACTTAGTTGCTAGCTGGGGTCAACTAACCACAGAAGCCTTTACATCAACAAACCAAGAGTCACGTATT